GGTGACAGAACTGCTAAGCACAGAGTGGAGAATTTCACCCAGTGCATTTGATCTCTAATCCATGCAATTCTGAAGTGGCTCTGTGAAAACATACATTCTTGGGGAAAATCTGCTTCTCAATTTTAATTTGCCTGTTCCTGTCACCAGTCCTCCTGCCCTTTACCTTCCTGTACATTTTCATCTGTAGCTGAATAGGTCCTCAACAATGGGTCCTTGCTATCTGCAGGGTTCATTCTTACCCCCCAACCCCCACTGCTGGCCTACCTGCCAGATGCAGGTGCTGCCCTGAATGTCTTGCAGTAACAAAACTGCCATTTTTTCATGCCTACTATAAGCCAGTCCTGCATTTCAATAATTTACATAAAAATTTCATAATTATTGGTAATAATTTAAAATAATTGTATAAACCTGATAAAACATTTAACACTTTAGAATATAATTATTTTATCTTTAAATTTATTTAAAACATTTCAAGCATTCAGTAGAAGTAGGGAGAATAGTATAATCAACAGCTTCAATAATTATCCATACTTAAAAAACAACAATTAGCCATACTTTGCTAACTTTGTTTTATTTATTTCCTATTTTTGGGAGGTGGGGAGGGGGCTGGAGTATTTGAAAATAAATCCTAGACACACTTTCACCAAAAATTCCTCATTATGCATATTTAACATGTAAGAACTGAAGAAAAAAAAATAACAATGCCATTACCAAAATTAATAATTTTTAACATCTATATCATCTATATTTCATTATCCTAATTGTCTCAACAATGTCATTTTAGCATTGGTTTATTCAAATCAGAGCCACAAGATCTAAACATTGCATTTGGTTACTAGGCATTTCAAAAGACACTATTTTCATGCATTTGACCTTTACATTAGGCCAATGAAAAATATGTGGTCTCAGTTTACAAGTGGGTGAACTGGGACTTAGAGATCTCATTGCTGGTTGGGGCAAAACCCAGAATTTGAATTAAGGTATGCTCAAGTCCAAAGACTCTATTCTACTCTTTTCCCTTCAAGCTTCCAGAATTTATCCTGTGTTGCAGAGAGGCAAAAGGGTTAGTGGTTAAGACAGAGGGCTTGGGCCCAGGTTAGCCTGGATGCAAATTGGAGCAAGTTATGCAATCTGTCTGATCCTCCACTTCTCTCTGTATTTGTAAAATAAGAATACTATAATGACGATGGTTTAGGCTGATTAAATAGGATAATGCATGTTTAGTGCTTAGCACAGTGCTTGGCACATAAAAAGCACAAAATAAACCTTAGTGATTATCATTAGTGCAGAGGAGAAAGAACTACCAAATGGTTGCTTTTGTCAGTAGCTCACAAAAGAAAGGTCATCATTGTTAACACAACCTATTTGGGATGGAGGATGAAGGTTTGGGAAGAGTGAGAGTAGGGTGATGATTCTGCCTGGATTGGAGAATGGAGCCCTGGACATAAATTATTAAACAGGCACCCAGGGAGTCCTCTGGAGGACTTTAACCGTGTCTTCTGAAGGCTAACCCTGGTTGTCTCTACAGAAGGAAAACCACTGGGTGGCAGACAGGGTGGGAGGGAGACTTCTCAATGTTTATTTGAATTTGGAACTATATGAATGCATCAAATCTATTCCAATACATGAATTGCATTTTTTTTTTTTTAAAAAAAACCTCTTTTACCATGGGGATAACTGCTGAGAATGGGAAGACTAGGATATAAAATCATCATCATCATCATCATCTCCTGAGGGAGATGGATGGTGGTGGTGGTGGAAGAAATAAAAGAGAAAAAAAGACAAAAAAAATTATTAATCTCCTTACATTTTTTGCATCCCTAGGAGGGCTTTGGTCATACAAGGTAGGACTTGTACCAGGATTGGGACTATTTCAGCTTGACTTGGATTTCAAAGACTCAAGGTAATATTTTAATTTCAGCCATTCTCTCTGACACTCGTTCTGAGTCTACAACCAGTAGTCACAGATTTGGGACTATTCACCCCCTTGGATTGTCTTCAAGCATATGCATTGTTGAGGGTTGAATCTATTGGCTAAATAAGATGTTTGTGTATTGTCTGTGCATTTCCCAGGTTTTTAGGCCATAGATCATTTCTGATGCTTAAATTAGTTAAGACTCTAGGGACTTTATTTTCTAGAGTCCTTGGGAATGGAGAAGGCACATAACTCTACTCAAAAATAATCACGAACTTGCCTAGACAATGTCCTAAGATCTTAACATATATTAACTCATTTAAACTTCATAACACTACACCGTAGGTACTATTATTCTGGTTTTACAGGCAAAGAAACAGAACCAAGTAAGATTAAGTAACTTGCCCAAGGTCGGAGCCTGCACAACTAACCATTAGGCCATACTCTGATGGCAGTGGGCCAATAATGTAAGGGGTCTTTCGAAGGTGATGCAAGCATCTTTGGCTGTGTGGCAGCAATACTTTGAGTGCCAAATCCCAAATCCTTCCCTCTCAGCAAATTCTGGTTTAACAGCAGGAAAAACCAGGGCGTGAATTTCCACATTGACCTCGGGCAATTTACTTGCTCCCTCTTAGCTTCAGGTTCCTTATCTGTGCTAGAGAGTTGTTTTAGGTTGGTTAAAAGACCTCTCCTCGAATTACGTGTGTGTGTATGTGTGTATTGGGGGAAGGTGGAGGGGCTGAGGTTTCTGGGCAGTGCGCTGCTTTTCTCAGGTCTCTTGAGGAAACAGGGTGTTTTGAGGTTCTGTCCTGGCCAACTCCCTCCTAGGAAGTCAGGCACCCAGGCCGTGATGGTGCTCAAGGTTGGCTAGTCTTCCTCCGCGTGGAAAAGGGCTGCTACCGGAGCCACTCCGACCTCTGCCGGGAGGTCTAGGGTGGGTCTTTTCCCCGGGTGAGTTAGAGATGATTGTATCCTCAGGCAGACTTCTTGGAGGTAGTGACAATTGAGTCCAGTCCTGAAGGTCTAGCAGGAGTTAGTAAGAAGAGGTAGAGGGGGAAGTGTTAGCGTCCCCCACCCCACCCCCAGCCACAGAACAAAGAAACACGACCCGCTTATGGTATAGGAGGAGGAGCTGTGAGAGTGGAGAGGTCTGTAGAAGCGAAATCACTAGGGGGCTTCATAGCTTGGCTTTATTCTAAGAGCAATTGGGAGGGGTTTGGAGAAATGTAGTTAGGAGTTTTAGGATTCTAGCCGTTGCGAAGAATGGGTCGGAGGGGAACAGGAGGCTATCACAGAAAGCAGTTAGTCTGAAAGATGACCGACGACTGAGGAAATGGGGGTGGTGGGGACAGAGCATCTGAGCCTTTCTCAGTACCCGCGACACTGTGCGCTGTGTGGAAGGGCCCGACAGGGGAACTGGGCCCCAAGGCGGGGCTGGGCGCCGGCTAAACTCTCGTTGAGCAAAATTAGCCAGAGCCCCCTCCTCTGTCGGCGGCTCTCTGGTCCAGGCGCCCCAGAATTAGAAGGGTTATGCTGAAGACGGAGAACCGTTACCCCTCAAAATACACAAAACCCTCGGCCACTTTTGGCAGCAGCCTCCTCCGCACATGACCTCATGCTTTAAGCTCCCATATAGCCTTCCCCAGCCCTGTCCACACCCAGCGCCGAGTGAGGGTAGAGTGGGGGACAGTGGTTACTATCTGGGGAGCGCGAGCACCTTATTTACCCTGAGTGAGATGTGCAGGAGGGGGCACAACGATCTCTCCAATACTGCAAAAAGCAAAACAAAACAAAACACCATGGTTTAACTTTCCCTAGAGCAAAAGACTCGTTGTCGTAGGCCCTCCATGAGACGGATGCCTCCAACCCGACTCGAGGTGGTCTGTTGAGCCGAACCACCTTTGGTTCACGTTTCCTCGGGCCAGGAAAGACGCCTGGAAATGCCGGGGTCCCGGGCTGGAGCACGCCGTTGCGGGACCTGGGGGTCTGTCCTGCTCTCGCCCTCCTGGCGCCGCCGAGGTTTGAACCCTGGGTTCGCCTTTCAGTCCGCGCCCTGCCCCCTGCTCGCAGCTGCTCTCGGTTTGGGTGCAGCGGTTTCCCCCGCAGAGGAGGAGGAGACTGCGCGAGGAGCGACTCCCGGCTCGGGTTTCCGCACCAATGCCGAGCAGCCCCGGGCGGCCCCCGGCGGCCGGCCCTCCTCCCCGGCACCACGTTCCACAGTCATGGCGCGCGAGGAGGGGCGGGCGAGCGCGCGCCGCGGCGGCACCCGCGCCCCCTTCCCTCCGCCGCCTCCCGGCCCGGCCCCTCTCCTAGGCAACCTCCCTCCCCGGCCTGCTGCGCCGCGGAGATGGAGACCCTCCCCAGAGAGCTGCATTTCCAGCGCCGCCTGCTGCACCCGCTCCCCGCCCCCATCGGGGTGGAGGGATGGAGTCGCGCGCTTCACGAACCTCTAGCTCCTTCCCCGGAGCCCGGGCCTCTCCTAGCCTCGCTGAGGTGGGGGTGCAGTGGGGGGTTAGGCGCAGACCGCCTCCCCGCAGCCCACCTAGACTCTGGCATCTTTGCAACCCCTTTAACAAAATAAACCCAAAACCCGAACCCCAGTCGTTAGATTGCAAAGCGCGTTACAATAACCGGGACGGCTACGCAGGAAGCAATCCTGCACTGGTCCGGGTCTAAGGCAGCAGCTTCCCGGCCACGCCGCCTTCTGCTGGGCCTCGATTTTCCGGTCACGCCGGAGAGTCGGCCACGACTCGGGACTGACAGGTCCCGCGCGGGGCCGCGACGCGGTCCGCGCCCCCCACCCCCCATCCTCGTCGAGTCTCGCCAGCCTACAAAAGGTGCAACCTCACGCACATGCAGAGCACACAAATAAGGTCGGCAGCGCATCGCCGGGAAGGCTGCGAACAATGCGCCGGGCGGCCCGCGCCCGCCAGAGCGCGGCGCCCCGAGGGACATGGGGCGTGGGTGGGGGCCGCGGCTGAGGACCCGCCGGCCGCGGCGCTGGACACCTTACTTCCTGCTTCCCTGCCCGCGGCCAGACCCAGCTCTGCGGAGGGATATCTCTACCCTCCTCTGAATCCCCCTCTCCCTTCCCCCGCCTTCCCTCCCCTTTTTTGCTTCTGCTCCCCCCCCACCCCGCCTTTCTCCTTTTGCAAGAAAATAATTTGACAGTCGATTTGCTGACAGGGGAGGAATTTGCATCCTGGATTAAAAAAAAAAAAAAAGGCCGAGAGGAGCTTGGGAACGGTTGCTAGGGGTGGGTAATGGGTGAAAAAAGGGAGGGGGGCGCCGGGGAGCGGATAAGGGGGAATAAGGGAGGGGTCGAGGGTGGGGAGCAATGCAAAAGGTAAGGCCAGGTTACCGCGGCTCGGCCCCGAGTGGGCTGCGGCCGGGGGAGGGGCGAGAGATACATATGTATTTCTGTCTCCCTAGCACACCCCCTTCCCTCTAAGCGATGGCTGAGAGGCGGTGCATGCAGATGGGGAGTAAGTTTCCTGAAGGGGAGGGTGGATGCACGCGCGCAGCCCCGCGCTGCAAATTTCCACCGGGGAGGGAGAGTGGCTGGATGCGGAGAGTTTGGAGTTGCTTGCGGCGGAGGGCAGGAAGGGGAGCAGGGCCGGGAAGGGGGCTGGCGGGCGCTATATCTAGGAGTAAGTTTCCAGGATCAGGAGAGCCTGCACGCTTGCTCGCTAGTAAGTTTCTGGCCGGGGAGGGCGCGTGGGGAGGAGAAGAGGGAGGGGTACATGTATATAGAAGGGGGGAGGGGGGAGCAGATTTCCTGCGGGGAGGCTGAATGCATATGGAGAGTAGATTTCCTGAAGGGAGGGTGAGGCGTAGACGGACCGAGTAAGTTTCTTGCTAGGGTGGTGGCGAGGTGGTGGGTTGGTGCTTTGGAAAGCCGGAGCTTCCTACCCGGGGTGGGGGAGCTCTCTGTTGGGTTGCAGGGGGTGCGAAGGGCCAGGTTCCCTGCTGGGCAGAGGGGCTTGCATCTGGGGAGTATGTTTCCTGGCGGAGCGATATTTGTTTACAGGCTGAGGGCAGTACTGTAAGTGAGTAGCGCTTGGAGAAGGCGGCTCTGACATAAATTAATATTAAAATTACTCCATCAGCTTTGCTCGCCCCCCATCTTATCCCCCAAGCGGAGACTGGTCTTCTTGTCGGATTGCCCATGCACTTGTTGCAGAAACAGCCAAGGTAGGCAAGAAGCTTATTAAGTTTCATTTTTAAAAAAATTAGTTGGGGGATGCTCCGTGAGAAGACGGAGGGGGGAGGGGAAGGGACAAAGTGAGGGGTCAGAGAAGGAAAAGTCTCCCCGACTTCTTTACTTTCAGTATGTTAACAGGCCCTTCTCTCTGCTTCCCTTCTCCCCTCTTTGGGCTGCACGGCATCCCAGAAAAGGGGGAGGGGTAAGGTGGGTGCTATAATTGGCAGTCCCGGCTTAAAGGGTGGTGGTGGGGCTTGCAACCGAAGGTTGTGATGTTATAAAGCCTTCATTCTTCCAGCCAAGAAACCGCAGGACCCTAGGGATGTGCCTTTTGGGGTTTTTGACATGATGAATATGTGTATGTATATGCGCCTGTGGGCTCTTTGGGGGTCGGTACCCCCCCAGAAGTTAAAGTGGCCACCCAGATGGGAGAAATGTGTGAGGAGGGGGGAAACCTGCCCTGCCACTCCCCAACTTCAGTTTGGGAAAGTGAGAAGTTGCTGCTGGTGGTCTCAAGAAATAGATATTAGAAAACAACACAAAACCACCCATTCACTGGCGGAGGCCGAGAGCACCTGGCGGGCAGCCTCTGGCCAGCAGCCTCTGGCCAGCACTGAGCTGGAGCATGTGCGCCTGCCATCCTTAGGTTAAAAGAAAATGACTTCTGATTCCTCCGAGTGCCTTCGACTGGCCTGTTAGAGCCAGCTTTGTGGAAACTCTTCTCAAGCTAGATGCGGCTTTGGCAAGTGAACGGTGTTGAAGCCGGTTGCTAACAGCATGGCCTGAGCTGTCTGGTGAAGTGCATGGAAGTGATGCCCAGGAATGATGGATTTAGGGATGGCTGAAGAGTTCTTTAAAAAATGCCTCTCGAAAGCCGACTGGGTGCACTTTTTAACAGACCATGGAGCAGAGCTTTAAGAAAGGAATTATCAGTTGTCCCAGTTGGTATCAACCTTGTGCATCACAAACGGTTTCAAGAAAGCAGTCCGGTGAGGGACAATGTGGTTTTGATGACCACTGAAAAGACGACAAGCAGAAATATTCAGCAGTTAACTAGTTAACCAGCAGTCTTTGCTTTTCCTTGCCTCTGTTTTCCTGGTCTTCAGCCTATGGGTTTCTGCAGATGGATTGTAGGTCTTGGCTGTCAGGTACCTGGATTACATGGGGAGTTTTAACTTTGCCAGGATAATTTTAGCCCCAGAGGTTCAAACCCAGACATGTTTAGTAGGGTCAGGGAGTAAACTCTAGGCGCTGTGGTTAACTAAAGGTGGTTGAGCTTTCTGCAGTTCTGTTGTCAGGCTCAATTCTAGCAGGGGAAAAAAATTTTTTTAAAAAAGATCTCTCTAAATATTACTGCTGGACAGTGCTTTTTTTTCCTTTCCTGTCATCATATTTCCAGATTGAAAATTTGATATTTGGCAGCTTGAGAGTTAGTTAGGAATTAAATATTATTGCCACTTATCAAATGTTCCTAACTAGGCATTAGTTAAACAAATTAGCTCTTATTTTTTCCCTGATGAAAATCTGAGTCTGGTTGGTGTATATGTTGGGAGAGTAAACACAATCTTTATGTGTGTTTATTCCAGGGTAGTGGAATTGTTGACATGTCTACCCTCGAAGCCAAGAGCAGCCATTCAGTTTTTTTTTCTTATATTTATGAGACTTATTTTATTGTCTTGCTTCGGCCATTAATCAAGTCACAGTAGCTTTTTTTTTTTTCCTTTTCTGCTGGGAATGTTCTTGTGGTAATAAAGATTTGAAGGCCTATGAATCATAATTCATTCTTTTTAAAATATTGCGGTGATTGTCAGGATTTGATTTATAGGAATTGATACTGAGAGTGACACACCTCTATGGGCCCCGCCCTTTTAGGCATGTCCATTTTCGCCAAAGGATTGTTTTAAAGCCAGTTTGACATCTCAAAAAAGAGAGCTTCCCTTCTGCTTTATGGGCATTGAGAAGATTAATTTTACAGGTTCTATAGTAAACATGGGTCTTTTCACAGCTTTGTAAGCAGGCTTTCCACATAGAGGCATGTGTTAATAATCACATAGCATTTATGTGAACTTGCTGTGAAAACAGTTGTTCTGAGTGGAAAGTACTCAGTTTTGCCTCCTTTAATCTGCTTGGGCCTGAGGTTTTTGTTGAGGTAGGAGCATTAATTATAAATAAGGGGACTACTGCTTATATAATAAAATGTGTTGTCACAAAAACAAAACTTATTAATATTCTTTTTCTCTTTGATGGTTGGGTTGGTCATAATAATCAAAAGCATTGTTTTTATTTGGGCGGGGGAGAATATAAGGATTCTCCATAAAGTGAATTAATCAGAAAGTGTTAACATTGTCTTGCATTCAGTAGTTGGTTCAAGTTTACAGTATTTGTAAATACTGTACAGTATTTGTACTGTATTTATAAAGTGGCAAAAGAACTTTTAAGGTGGTTTGATGCTCAAAGCAGGTGAAAAACGTCACTGAAGTGAGGAGGGTACCTTTTTCTAGCATTTCTGGGCTTTGTATCTTTCATATTAAAAATGCACGGTTTGATCTGTGAGTTCCATTCGTGTTTGAAATTCTATGACTCGGTCTTGTGGAGAGAGGTCTCCAGAGGTCTCTACAGTGTCTTCCTGGGCCAACGGCCAAATTGCTTCATGGACTTGGGCGAGTTGATTAACTTCTGTTTTTGTCTTCTCATGGAGAGAGTGGATTTGAACACTGGCATTCCAAAAAAGACTCTTGAGTGGCCTGCTAATCTTGACCATCAAACGCAAGAAAATACTTATGCAAGTCTGCTGCCATCTTGGGAAAAAAAGTGCATGGTTGATACCAATTATATGTGCTAATAGAGAGTGGGGCACATAATCCTAGGCACCAAAAATAATTTCAGTTCATCTTGGATGTTTCCGCTGCAGCCAGCTGGTTCACCTGGCTAATTATGCTTGGTCAAGCCTAAGGTTAATTGAGCAGTTATTCCCAGGCAACGTTGGAGGGGGTAGTCTAGGGGATCAATGGGAAACCAGAAAGCCTAGTGTGGCGTTACCCACTTTCTGTGGAGAATTCACATGTGGGTAATTGGGATTTGTTTGTATATTTGTGATAGAGTTCATGATAATGATACTGTATTGCTGTCGCTTCTGGCCTATCATATATTTCACCATGGGCAGTTTTTGGGGAAAGCTCTTGATATTTTTATTGACTTTGAACATTGACATGAGAAGTAAGGATTCAGACAAGTAGCTCAGACCCCAGGCAGTACAAATGGGTGCTGATCGTCCTGCTCTAAAAGCAGTTGGAATTCAGTTCATTTTATTTCTGACTTCATAAAACTGTGTGATTTATGGAGGAGAGAGGATTAGAATCAGCTGGGATCTTGTGAATTAGTAATATTTCTGAATTTACATGTTGGAGGGGAACCAATAAAGTAAAGGGGAAACTAAAACATAGTCGATTTCTTTTGTGCTGAGAGGGAGACGAGAGCCAGTTGGATTCCAGTTATTGGCATGCTTTCACAAGGGTATGGTGGCATTTTAAAGAATACTGTAAGTTTGGTTACATGAGTTTGATCCCATGGCTCTCTTAATAATCTTTTCTTCTGGGTTAAAGAAAATACACAACAAAGAGCCCCAGTGATATTTTTCTAAGAATTTTCAAGTGCTCAGAGCAGCTACCTATAGGGTCTTCTGGTTAATTTGTGTTTACTGAGGAAATGGATGATTTTTGCTTTTTTCCTCATGGAAGACTACAAACTGGAGATGAGTGGAATATGCTAAGCTATTGGGCTGTTGGTTCAGCAATATTAAAACTTTTTTTTTTTGGATAGAGAGTAAGGGGAAAAAGAACCTGTGTGCCTAAATGGCAGTGATAATTCTGAGCTCATAGAATATAAAACATGTATTTGTGCCATAACCGGCTCTTGTTTATTCATTTGTACTTTTGGCAGCTCCTTACTGAGCACCTACTATTTTCTAGGCACTGTGTTAGGGCTCTGGGAATATGTCGATAATTCCAACGGACATAATTCTCTCCCTCTGCCCCTCACCCCCAACCAACTCTGCAGTTTATAGTCCAGAGGGGAGGTGGACATTTAAGGAAATACATATTGCAAAATGTGATAAGTGCTCTGATGAAATCCCCGAGACAGTGACCTGGACTTACTTAGCTGAAGTAGCCTAGAAAAGCCTCTCTGAGGATTGGAGGTGAGGCGAGACAGAAGGCGCCAGCCAGAGGAGAGCCCGTGTGGAAGGACTCTGGCTTTGGGGGGAACTGAAAAGAGGCAAGGATGGATAAGGCGGAGGGAGAGAGGGCAGCACGAGATGATTGTGCAGGGCTCTGGGGGCCTTGAAAATGTTTGGATTTCGTTCAAAGCGTGGTGGAAAGTCACTGAAAGTTCGCAGCGGGAAGTGACACCTCCTAACTCATGCATTGGTAGAGAGGGGCAGGTATAGAATTGGGGAGCACAGTATAAAGGCAGTTGGAGCAGGCTAGGTGAGGAGGTTATAGGAGGTGAATGGAGGGGAGCAAATAGATGTGAAATGCACATTAGAGGTACAGTGGGCAGGGCTTGCTGATAGATTTGGTGAAGTGCCGGAAGGAGGAGTAGGTAATAGTTTGAGCAGTTGGGTGGATGGGTGGTGCTGTTTGCTGAGATAGGGAAGAGGGAGAGAGAGGAGAGCAGAATAGAGCCGTTTCAGTTTGGGCACCATTAATTTTGAGATGCCTGTTAGACTCCAGGTAGAGATGTTAGGTAGGTGGTCTGATAGAGCATCCAATGCCAGAGGAGTGGCCAGGCAAGAGATGAAAACGTGGGAACTATCAGCCAGGGGGTGGTATTCTAGTTCAGGAGACTGAATGAGAAGTCCTAAGGAGCCTGGAGAGAGAGAGGAGAAAAGGCAACGTGTATGTGGGTGTGAGTGATAAAGCCGGAAAAAAATCACCATTGGATTTGGCAAAATGGAAGCCATTGGTGACTTTGCAAAGAACAGTTTCAGTGG